GGCTGGCATTGTTAGATGTGTTAAACGAATCATGAACAGTCCAAAGGTGCTTAGCAATATTCTTAGGTATATTTCTACGAATCGTGAAATTTATCGTGAATATTTAGCATTGGAAGCGTGGAAATTAACAGGAGAAATATGCTTAATGATGGAAATTGATGGTATTATTATATTAAATTAGATATATCATAGTTTGTATAGTGATATACTATAGAAAATAATCAATATTTTGACATTGTTTTTTAGAGGAGAGATACAAGTATTGCATCCTTATTTATTTTATTTTTTCCCTTTGTTTCTTTTCTTTTTTTTTTTCTTACAAAATAAGATCTTAATATTAAATTACCTGGAACATTACATTAATAGCGATCGTTCCGCAACGCTTACGGCTCTAAGAAATCGGTTTGGTCTTCTCACTAACGATCTGGTGAACGATGGCCTCGATGCGATGATCGTCTGTAACTTAATACTCAAACTTGATCTCATATGGATCACAAAGTTTTTGTGGTATTGGTAGTAACATTGAAAAGACTCGTATTGGATTCGAATTTGAAATTTTTTATCCACAATTATAGGTTTCAGCAGCTAGTAAGGAACTTTAACGTATGTACTTTTTATTTTAATTTTTATAACATTTATTGCTTGGTTTACTAATTTTATTATTTATTTTTTATTTTAATTTATAGCAAAATGAAAGAACACAGCATGTGTAATGTAACTTTCGAACTAGCCCGGTAAAAAATTCCAGAAAAAGGGCTTAATTATGACTCAGTTTCTAAATCATATCCTCAAGAATCTACGAGTAAGCAAAGCTTCTTAATATGATTATTATAATATACTTTACACAAAGGCATAGTCTTCACCTAATATCAGAAAATGCATGGAATTAACACCCGATGAGTTTTGGGCTTTTAATTTATAACAGCACAAACTTCGACATAATAAAATTGAAGTCGAGGACTATATAAGGTTATCGATCTAATTCGACGCTTAAAAGTCCAGAATCTTTAGCTTCAAATTGCTATTGAGAACAGGAAAATCGGATACCCCTTGGGATTTGGTAAGTGGCGTAATTGACATCATGTCTAAATAAAGATTGCATGAACGATGGATGTAATAACTAATTAATAATCAATATATAGAGCATCGATCCCAGAGGGGAAATGCCTAAGCTTCGACCATTCTTTGCGAAACATATTGTCAATCTAGGAAGCGATAAATCCAGTTTTGTATTACCCCGAGAGTTCAATAGCTCTTCGACAATAGCTAGTCGCTTTCAAATGCATTGATACGACACCGTTGAATACAGCCTTAAATGAATGCAAAAACTAGAAAATTCGAAGGTTGCATTGCATTAAGCAACCTGACTTCACAGTTCATTATTTGTCAGTTACAGACAAGTGCGACCTTATTTGTGGGTGAAGTTAGCCCCCCATCGAAGAAAATTGCAAAATTAATAACTGTAAAATTCTATATTGTAATACTCTAACATTTACTATATTCCTCATATTTGTGTATATACAATGGTTTTACGAATTTACTAAATCAATTTTTTTATTGACTCATGTATATTAGTTAAGTTTTATATTTTAGCATTTGTTATAAAAAGGTTAGAATTTTGCTATATTTAAAGACTGTAGTCTTGGCGATATGACCAATCTGTAGTCTTAGGCTGCCTATAAGTTGTTTATGGCTTTTATTACATTATTGTATAAGATATATATCTTCAAATTTTCATATATTTGAATGAAGAACGTGAATGTCAATTAGTCTTTCATATAAGCTTAATCTTAGGTGATGCTATACAATAGTAGATACTAGGTTAATGCGTAGCATTATTGGTCCGGAGCTATCATATTATCACCATGTGTCACGTGTGCAGACAGACAAAAGTTGAATTAATATTAATCGGAATCAAAACCGTAACTTTGGTATCATCTTACTCGTCCTCCGAAAATAATGCACATGCTGAAAAAAGAGTATTGGTAAAATCATCCAATTGGCTTTGATTGGAATAGGTCGGTTGCAGAATCAACATCAAAAGGTTCCGGATAAAGAGACATTGGTACTAAATGGTGAAGGGAAATTCAACGCTGAGAACTTTAAATTTTATTACCCGTTATGAAGTAAGTAGCATGATTACGTTTTTACTATTCATTTCAATATCATTCCTGTTATTAACATTACTTTAATTAGCATGGCCATAATACTTAATATAGTTTATTAGAATTATTTTGGTATCAGAATTTTTTATACGTTATGACTGGTTTAATCAATTTTAACGAAAACCGTTTCCCAAATTTCTAATCAGAGAGAATCCTGCCGGTCGTCCGGAAACTCAATACATTAAATATTTATCATCAAAATTCTGTACATTTGGATATTAAGCATGGAGATAAGAAACTAGGTTGTAAATCATCTGATTATTTTGCAAAGTATGATTAAATATTATTGATATTTTTATGTTAAATTAATCAATTACGCAATTTTTAGCTTGTACCAAAAATAACATGCACTGATTACTGGTGAAAAAGGCTTTGGGTACAAGGGATCAAAAATTCAATCGTGTGTTAAGACGAGTATTTGAACAGCATAATTTCGAATGTTTAGCATTGAAATAACTTATTATATTTGAGTGTCGCCAAAAGAAAACCCGACAAATTAATTATAGTTTATATTTAAATTGTCGGGTTTTCTTTTGGCGATACTCATTTCTATATTATCAATAGAATTTAATGGTCCAGAAATGCATGCACAATAAGTACGTATGAAATTAATAGAGAATTACTGAATATGTATACGTAGCAAATATATAATCAAATTTTTTAGGAACATTTTTGCTAGAAAAATTTTACTAAATAATATTATTGCACACGCCACTCTGGTTGACAATTATAATATATAAATACGTAGATTTAGCAAGCAACTTAGGTTTTATTTACGATAAATCGGGTTAAATACATGATCTTTTATCGCTATGTATTGCATTTTTCCCCCTTAATATTTATGGATTTGTAAGGATATAGCTTCATGACTTGTGAGATTAATCAGCAAAAGGAAAAAAATAAGTGATGTTTGATTATACAGTAGAAATTAATATCTAAATATACTGAAAACTCCAGACTTTCAATATAATCCATGTAATCCAACGTTCAAATAGTAGGTGGTTGACATCTCAAAATTCTTTCACGGTATGACAGAAGGGCTTATATATTTAAGCAAGACAGAATTAATTGAAAATCTTTGTTAAGTAATTTGTGCGATCTAAAACGGAAAGTCAATGTTCAAGAAAATTTAGATGTAAAATATGGATGTATTTTACGTGGTGAATGCAAACTCTTAATTACGTTGCTAAATAAACTCAAATTTAAGCATACAATTTATTGGCTGTCATGAAAGTTTTTGAACGATAAACTAGATTAATGCGTAGCATATCATATTTGATGTATAATTTAATCAGAGCGTCATCCTCATGCTAGACACGTGATTGTGAATTTGCATAATTACAGTGCACGCGTGAAATTGAAATTGCCAAATCATCACACTACTTTAACAAACTTCATATTCGATACCGCGGTTTACGCGATTTTTCAAAATAAATGTAAGTATCTTCTCCAAAGAAATTCCCTATGAGGCATACTTTTCATTCGTTCCGTTTGAGAAGTGGTCCCTACACTTTTTTTTTACACACTCTCCTCCAGCAGACAGGATATTACGTGGTTTAGTGAAGGGAAAAGTCAAATCAATTTTAAGAATTAGCGACAGGCATGAGTAGAGATATTGGGTAGGCGCTCTTCTAAACTCACACACACTCTTACTTCACTCTCTTTTACACACACACACTCCTTACATGCACTCTCTTTACAACTACGATTCATGCCCCATAAATAACTAAAATTTTGTCAAAAAAGATCGGGCCCACGTCGTCTTTTACCTGTCCTTGGAATGTTTCATGCATGATGAAATTAGCCACAAGAAGTCTGCGATGGCGCAAAGGCATTATTGGAAATGTAACGCTATTAATGACTCAAATGAAAGTAGAGTGGAAAATCGTAGAAGAGGATGAACGTTTTAGTAGCAGACAGGTAAACTCTACTATGATAAAAATTTTACTAGCCTGTATTATTTATTTTGTTATTTTTAAAAGTGAATAGATGAAACAGAGAATGTGCCAGTAACCCAATCGGATATTACTAATATTCGAGTAAGTATTCTTAATCAAATTTCGACAAATTTAAAAATAATTACAAGGTTGTCATTAAATTTATCAAATTATAAAGGAATCATTTACACAGCTCGATAGTTCTCGAAGTTCAACTTTTCAAATGAGCCGATCGTTGTGTACAACATCAATCCCTTTATTGTGGCGCGAGCCAAAGTTCGAAAATGAAATGGTCATGAAAATTGCCATTGTGGTCTTCATTCAGTAAATCAAGTTGAAGGTTCAATTGATGAAGAAAAAAATAAGTATAATAAAGTTGCAGGTCTACATGGTATAGATGATGGTTTTGGTTAGGTATTTGTGTAGGATAAAAGTTTATACTCCAAGACACACATTTTCCTGATATCCACTTTCCCAATATATTATTCTCAGATTCTATAATAACGAAAAAAAAAAACAAATAAAAAAAATCCCCATCACATTTTCAATATAAACCGTTAAAATCCCCTTCATGTTAAGCATAAACTTTACAATGAACGCCTTAAGAATAGAAATTTTAATCATAGATTATTTACTCCCTATGAGGCATACTTCTCAATTCGTTCCGTTTGAGAAGTGGTCCTTTTACAACTATGATTCATGCCTCATAAATAACTATAAATTCGTTAATAAGATCGGACCACGACAGAAATCAACCACGAGAAGTCCGCCAGGCAAGAAGAAAGTAAGCATAAAAAGTTACAGACAATACTATAATATATAAATAAGTTACCCGGGCAATCGATTTACATCAGCCAATCAGACGAACTTCTTCCTTTGAGGGTATTACATACCATTTCTAAGAAACGTAAAACCCACCATCGCTATCGCCATCGCCATCACCATTGTCAATTAACAAGGTAAGGTCTGCTGGTATTGGTTAGGTATTTGTGTAGGGTAAAAGTTTATACTCCAAGGCACACATTTTCTGATACCCACTTTCCCAATATATTATTCTCAGATCCCTTCTCTGATCAAGGATGTAGGCGAAGAAACACTCGAGATCTGGCTTCGGCAAAACCTGCATTATAATACCGAAGTTTTTACCAATGCCTTTTTTCCTGGTCAAACTAATAATGTCGCTAATGAGAGTAGTAAGTAAGTCTTTGTACATTTCGATATATATTTTCAATACATAAAAAATTTTTTTTGATTTTATTTTAATTTACAAAATAATGTAGAAGATGTCGAACCATTGCTGAAAATGGTAACGTGAACATGTTGGAAATGAGTTGTTGGAAGACCAGACAAAAAATCAGAACTTGACACCAATAACTCTGCTGATGCAACGGTAAGTAAATTTTTATACATTTCGAATATTTTTTCGGCAACCTAATTTTAGATATAGATGTCATATTATGTGATCCTTTAGAATAATTTATAATACCAGGAGTGTTGGGGTGTGGCCTATCAATCAATTTACAAACGTATGTACTGATCTATAATAAAATAAAAGTTTTTAGAGAAATGATAAACGTTCAAACACTTTGTTCTTTTTCGGTTTTTCTTAATCTACTGTGTACTTTAATATTCAAAACAAACTGCTTGACTTATTCACGAAGATTTAATTGGAGTGCCGTACGGGTACTTCACTAAAAGTTACAGCATTTACTATCCAAGGGCAATAGTGTTTTACTTAGAAAGGGCTAAAATAATACTTGGGCATTTCCCCCTTGAATATTATTATACTAATATACATCCGCATCACTGATTATTACATACTTATGCAATCACTATTTTAATTAAATTCGTGATCAAAATAGAATAGTAACGGTAATGCCTAAACTTGATCACGATCCCGTGACTATTTTGCAATAAATTACAGATTAAGCTTTCAAAATAATAAACTTTAAGAATTGCAAAATTGGTGTAATAATATTATAGTAAAACTTCCAGAAAAGATGTTTGAATCAGAAGGTTTTACATCAATTCAAGAAAATGCGTTAATCTCAGTTATTAAATGGGTTTCATCATGAACAAGTGTTATGTCAAATGAGTAGCTTCTGGAAATTTAATCTCCGTACGTACAGTACGTACCTAATCTTGGTGGCGATACTAGGTGAACGTAGCTGGCGTCCGTTGGAATTAAAATGAGCGGGATCTATTTACAATTAAGTTTTTATTAGGTATTAAAAAATAGAAATATTGTAAAAATCTTTATTTAATATTAGTCTAATTTTTACTATATATATATTTTTTACTAGTTTTTTTTTTTTGATCTAACACTAAACTAAAATTTAAATTTTATTTTTTAATATATATATATGTCGTACGTATGAGAGCAAAATTTAAGTTGATCCGGAATTTTTAAGGTTAGAGTAGTATAATTATTCCGTTTATTCCGGTTTAATCTTAGTGGATTCCGAATCTATTATGATTCCACTCACAACATATATATCCATTTATATATATATTTTTAATTAGTTTTTGAAAAATTTTTATATATAGCAAATAATTTCTATTACTATTGTAAATAGTATATTCAAAACTATTCAACCTTTACTTTTTAATAATAAATTTTCTATGTCCTAGCAAGCTACGCTTAGAGAAGACTGTATATACTGTACTATTTTATAAAGCTATTTAAGTTATTATTATTATTATTATTATTATTATTATTATTATTTTGCAATTTATCAAAAAAATTGACCATTGAATAAGCAGACAAGATGATATTTTAAAATTTACTCTTTTTATAAATGCATATAAACAACAACAATAATAATAATAATTTGAAATTTATTAACTATATTAGAGGTAGTTCTTCTAAAATAATAATTGTCTTTTTTCCAATCCAACTTTAATATCTACTTGGTAGTAGATACAAATATAAGTAATATATAAAATTGATAATATTATCTGACGGTAGCAAATTTTTACATATCATACAAAAAACATATACAATTCACACATCATTCCTACCATTAATAGTTTTTTTTTATATAAAAATTTATAATAGACTAAAAAGCCTGGTCGTTTGCTAACATATTAATCTTACTCTAACATTTATGTGCTAACATAAAATTTTATGCTATCATCGTAAATAATAATCATAATAATCTATTATTTCTATTGAATTTGAAAATTTGAAAATGCGTCATGTGCTTTAGGACAATGAGTTTTATTAGTATCAAGGTCAATTGTATAGCACAAGAACGTCGCATCTATACTATATACGAAAATGAATGTTGGTGAAGAAGCTCATAAACAAAAAAAAAAAAAAGGGTACGTATCACTTCGTAGAAGTTTATTTCACAGACAAGTTTAATTTAAAGATATTTGATTTACAGACAATTCATTTCATATATAGTTCATTTTATCGACAGTTTATCTTATAGACAATCTTTAATAGCAAATAACTTCTGAATCAGTGTTAAAGATTGTCTACAAAATGAAATGTCTAGTCTATAAAATGAATTATCTATGAAATAAACGGTTTGTAAATTAATTGTCTTTAAAATAAACTTGTCTGTGAAATAAACTTCTACGAGGTGATACGTACCCAAAATAAAATATATGTATAAAAAACTTACATGTTTCTCATAATGCATACAAAAAATTGCGAAACGTGGTAGGGAATAATAAATGCTAAAATACCAACGACATATCCATACGGTGAATGCTGTGAATGTGTGGCGTAAATGAACGTAGCAAATGCGCAAAAAAGAGCAATTGTTATAGAGATGATATACAAGATGCCCTTTGTTACGGTGTCTAATAATAATAATAATAATAATAATAATATATAGTTAACTTTATATTGGTCAAACAAAATTATATATTGCACCTATGGTGTTCAACACCACAATAATAAACTGCAGTGTAACGTATAAATCAAAATAATTATTATCAAAACAAAAATTAAATTTGATCAAGATTAGGGTTAGAGTTAAAGGCTAGAATGGGATGTGAGCTTAGTTTATACCAAAATTTTGCAAATAATTTTTTTTATTAGATCTTAAAAAGTGGTTTCATAGACAAAATTTTGAGTTACGCTCTTTTTTTTTAAAAAAACAAAAAGCCTATGTTACACCTGATCTTTATGTTACACTGCAGCTTATTATAAAAATTGTTGTGGTGTTGAACACCAGTGGTGTGATTTAGCAATGTTGTTTATCAATGTATTATCATCACAGCGTTTTTAAAACTAACATTCAAAGTAAGCTTATAGGATAGTCGATGAATCAAAAGCAATATGAATGAGAAAATATGCCTTACCATTAACTAGTCCAAAGATCAGATTTCGACGAAATAATTTTGTGGTAAACATTGCTGAGGAACAAAAACTTTCACCAGAAATTCCAACATATATCAAAGTATAATTATTCAGAACATCTATTAATCCGTCAATATAGGACATACACGCAGCCGCATAATAAAAAACCGGGTTTAGTTTGGAATTCTGTAAATATAAAAAATATATATATAACTTTAATAAGTTTACAGTAAAGACAAAATAGGTATATAAATATCACCTTTTTCGTAAATTCGTTCATATTTTGCAAGCATTGAACAGTAAACATAATGAGACTGCCTAGACATATTGATCCTAATGAGCTTGTAGTGGCTTTATGAAAAGCCAAAGCAGAAGTATCTTTAGAAGCATCACGACTTTGTTCACGCCTAAACACTAAGTATATGTTAGTAAATGTATAACAGCTGATGGCAATATAATACGTTTGAAGACATAGATTCCACCTGTAGAAATACCAATCTGACACAACTCCTGCAAGGGTTACTCTACGTAAATATTAACAAAACAACTGAGCCGCTTGAAATAAGTGTTACAACTACCCTTGATATATAGCAAACAATACCTACTTTTGAATATTTTTTAATACAGCAGATGTCCACATATACATAAATACAAAAAATAATATCAGCAAATATATTTTTGTGTTAGACACATCTATCCACAAGAATTACTTAATTAGTAAAACTTTAATAACAAAGTGTAAATATAAAGATCATGTTTTTAATTAATCACCTGTTGAAGTCTGAACCGTAAGACCAATCAAAAACACTCTACTGAAAAATATCAACCATATTATTGCGAACAAGACGTAAGCACCTAATAGTGTTAACGAAACGCCAAGCATTCTGTGATTTGCGTTAAAGATTTCACAAGCCAACTATCATGTTTCATGAAATTGTGTTATATTTTGTTACGATAAAAAATATTGAGTGATGGATAAGTATATATGAACCTCTATTATATTTATTGTTTTCTCAATATCCTTTTTACGAGTGTATAAACCTATAACAGAGCCGAACGAAATAAAGAATGGAATAAAGGATAAAACCAAAAGCCTATAAAGGTTTTTCAGAGAAAAAAGATTGTTAGATCAATTTATATATCATGCAGAATGGATACATACAAAATGTCTTGCGGATCACGATTTCCGGATTCTTGACGAGGTCCAGTTAAAGCTGCCACAACAGTCCAAATAAACATTATCGCAAATATAAATGGAACCGATACTAATATTCCCCATATTAAAGGCTGAAAATACAAAAAGGATTAGATTTATCACAATTTTTAACCACTATTTCAATCGAGTAATTAGCACATGCCTGAGCAAATGAACGTAGAAAATATATCCAAATGGCACCTATACATATTGAGAACAATATGGAAATAAAAAGTTGCCCTAAAGAATAATGCATTAAAAATAATTTATAATTAATTAATATATGTTAATTAACTTTTAGATTGAAAAAAAAAACATACATGCGCTGTAATAAATAGCGGTGAATACGGTTCCACCTCCTGACGGAGAAGACTGTTTAAAATTTAAATTCATTATTCATCAGAAAAAAAAAAAAGAACAAAACGGTCGAGAAAAGAATTATAACTCACGCTAGTTGTAAATAATAAAAATAAGCCTATTAACGACAATGTCGCTAATCCGACAACAAATAAAACCGCAAATGCCGAATCTCTGAATTTACGATGTGAAAGACCTGATAATAGCGGGGGTGGTATCTAATGCGAGAACGAATTGTTACAATTTATAAAAAAATAATCGATATTGAAATATTGTCAAAAGAATTTACCGAAGATGAAGGAAGTAGCCCTTCCGACAGTGTATCGCTAGATACTCTAGTAGTGGGCGAAGGAGGGACGTTGCGATAGATCGCTGCCGCGGCCTGTAGAATGTAAGTTTATAGATAATCAAATCAATGCGGATTTTGATTTATTTCTAACCTGTATATTTCGATTATCCGAGAATGAATTTTCTAAGAAAGCTGTTCCAGGAACAGGATCGGATCCCAGATGTTCGTCGCCATCGTCATATTGATTATAATTTCGCACTTGCGAAGGTTGCAAAGAAATGGATTCACGAATTTCGGCATCCGTTAATAGATTAGGGACAGAATAAAAAAGAGATGCACCAGGTTCTTGTGATGAATCTGAAGAAACAGACCCTCGAGGCCGATTCCACAAATCCTTTGTGTATTGAGAAAACATGGAAAAACGGGGAAAGCATTAGCATGTACAAAGTTACGTATATAAATACATTATTAGGTGTACACAAACTTAAATTGGACATACTAACGATAATTGTCAGATGACATATGCATTGTCAGACAAGTTTTATTCCGAATGAGGCATAGTAACACATGAATATCATGTGCTGATCATGACAATATAAAGTGGTTAGACCCACTTATTTACCATTAACGCGTTTTGTGCACTCTCCCTAATTTACGCGCGGATTTTTTTTTTTTGACGAATTTACCTGTATAAAGAACAAAAATGAATTATTTCATTGAGATTCAGTTTAGTGATTTAGATGTTCTTCAAAGTAAGATCTTTTGATGATGTTCACGTTTGAATTTCGGTTAAATTCTGAAAAGTATCATTTTACAAAAACAGAAATGGTAGATATTGCTAAAGGCTTCGGATCTCAATATTGCACCTTTTCTATTTCACCATCACAAATAGAAATAATTGGTTCAGACGTATCATCCGTATATATTTACGTGTATGTTTATATCTTCAATATTCTTTAGAGACTTTGACCATATTCACTAATCATTGCGTAATTAAATTTATCATTTAAAAAAGATCTTATGAAATCTCACGAAATGCTCAACCGTACGATATGTCTCCGCCTCCTCATTTGGCAAGTTTCAGTATTCCGCATTCGATTCAAAATACTGAAGCCGTATGTTTTAAGGTTAATATACGCAACTTGGCTCATGCGATCGAGTATATGTGTAAACCAAGTATGACAAATATACATATGAAATTACGCGAGGCTGGAGAAAAATGGATTCTAGTCTTTCACCATGAGGACGCTGTAAGAATGGTTTTTTATAGTAATTAATCATTACAAGTATAATATCAAGTCTCATTAAGAATGTATTTAAATCATTTATAAAGCATACTGAGTTAATTTCTGAAAAGGAAATTTTTGTGCTGCCTGAAGATTTTTGGAGTGAACCAGCAATTGGGTCTTTTAATGTATGCATATATGTTAATTATTAATGTTTATTTATTTACTTAATTATTTATTATATATTTATTATATATTTAATAATTAAATTAACATCGAGTCTTTAATATATATAGGTAGATATGGTGCTTCCTGATTTCTATAAAGTCCATTGTGTTGGTGCGTCAATGAAAAATTTTAATGAACGCATAAAAATTAGCGCAAACAACCAAGGAGAATTAAGGCTAGAGACAGGGCATGCGATGTTCAACACGGTAACTTGTTTTAATAATTGTATTAATCATATGGGTATGCGAAATAATGTCTCTTATAATCTTCTGATTATTAGTATTGTGATATTTATTAATACGTGATTATATTTATTAAAATAAATATTAGATTCGGTAGTGGTGCTTGAAAGAGATAATTTCAAATTTGTAACTATAAATGTAGATTCAGCACATTTTGTGAAATTTTTTAGTGTTGTAAAAGAAGATTTTGAAATCAATTTTAGTAAGTTTTTTTTTTTTTTAATATGATTTGATTTATATATATTAAATATAAACTAATTTATATATTTTAATTTTAGAAATTGTTGATAATTATGCATTATTATTTGAAGGCGAAAGAGAAAGAGAACACCTAAAAGTAAAGCTAATCTTACCGGCAAAACTTTAGATTTCTAATTAGAAATTTTTTTAGCAATCATGTTTGTAGCAACATTTTAAGGTTTACAACTAAAATCACAATTTAGTCTATTAAACTTTTTGAGCCATAATTAAAATTATATATAATTTTATTTTTTGTTTAACACATTTATCTTAATTTGAATAATGTTAATAATTTGCATCAAATATATACACGCTTGTAAATAACGTATTTGCATAGGGTTTGACAATAAAATTTAAATTGTATTTTCAAAAAACTAATAATAATTAATCTATATACATTATTATTTAAATGCTATGATATTATTACAATGTAATAACCCAAAAAGTTATCTGAACATAAATAAAATTAAATGAATGAACAATAATTTTTACAAGATATTTTATTCTGTATATAAACCTGTATTTTACATGACTGTCTTGTTAAAAGATCATCGATATGGTGAAAATTTTAATTTTTTTTTTTTAAATATGATAAAGTTAATTGTATAAGTGTACGCGATGATAAATATTTTACATCCATATGCTTTATGGAAAATCATAATCCACAGACCTCAACGGCCAGAGATATTCTGGTAATCCTTTAGAAGACTCTCCTTACAATCTGTTTCCAGAATAAACTATACATTTTGTTTTTTTTCGGTACGGATATAATAATGTACATATTATTTTATATTTTGCACACAATCTAATTGAAGGATTATCTATCCTTAGGGATATCTAACACATAATGTGCGTCGACGTATCTTTCAGCGTTCTCATCATCTTCAAAAGTAAGTAAATATCGTGAGGTTTTTGGTGTTAATTTACTTGGTGGAATAACTACAACAGCTTTGTAAAAACATGTCGTGTGAGGATATAATGCTATGACTGTTGAATCTTTTGGAAATTCCGGTGAACGCATTTCTCCAGGATTTGGAATTGCTATAACATTTTTCACTGGTACTATAAATCGTCTGTATTAAAGGATAAATACATGAGATCGAAGAATAGAAAATGCGAAAATGTGAACAAAGTATAGCAAGCAAATTAGTGAGGGACTTACTCTCCAGGTCTATTTGATGCCTCGTCTTTATCCGCATCCTCGACTTCGTAACTTAATTAATTCAGACGAATTATTAGAGTATATTGGGAAAGTTTGTGGATTGTTGTATGAGATTTTTGTTACCTCTTTGATTCAACCTTATACCCTACAACTGTGGCCAAAATCCAATTTTCTTCGATGTCTTTATCTTTAGGTTGTTTCGCTGCGACCTATCAGATACATAAACCATAATGTTATGAACTAAATTCTTTTACTAATAATAATAGTAATAGTAATTCAAAACAAAAAAAAAAAAAAAACTTACTGATGTTCCATTTTTAATAATGCTACTTTTCGATTGCGACCTAAGTTTTAATTATATTAAGTACAGCAGGAAAAGCATTAAAATTTTGTACATACACTTTTGGTTTTTTCGCCTTATTGTTAACTGATGTGTTTTCCTGACTTCTCTTTTTTTTATGACTTTCTTCTGTATTTAAATCTAAATGTTAAGTTAAAATTAGCATAGATATTGGAAATCATAACCTTACATAGCATAGCAAATTAACGCTCAAAAATAAAAGACAATACCTGATGGTGTTCTGGAATCTTTTATGGACTCTAGATACTTATCGATATCTTTTGTGATCTTTTTATCCATTCTGAGCTTATTCAAAAAAAAAAAAAAAAAGACATGAAATTGGATATATGAAATACTATAAGTTTGATAATTAATGAATGAAATAATTACTCTTCTTCACGACTAGCCTGCTTAATAGCATCTCTATATAAACTTTCAAGTTTTTCTTTGACATCCTGAGCCGCATATCCAGCTAGATACATAAATTTTATAATTTCATTTCATTTGGTACGAATTCGTTTAAATGAACTGTTTTAATCCATGAATATTAAAACATTTAATAGTTTGATAAATCAACTACCGTGCTGTATTCTGTCATGATGTTCGTTTATTAAATTAATTAATTTGACACCTTCATTTTCTACCTCTTCTAAGTTGGCAAGGCTGTCATTTATCTGAACCAAAAAATCTTCAGAATCAGGAGATTGGCGAGAAGTTTCGCCTCGATATTTATCCATGCTCATTGTTTTTTTTACAGTCAGTTTTTATAAATTAATATATAATTTAATAATAGTATATAGTAATAAAAAAAAAAAAAAAAAAAAAAGGAAAAAAAAAGAAATTGAAAATTCGGAAAACCTAATTTGTGTAGCCGGTCCAGGGTTATTATTCGTTTTCCAAAATTGGATGATAGCCAAAGATGTTTAGTGTTAGATAATTTTAATAGTACTAATACATTAGATCGCATACATAAGCACGAAAACAAATACGCAATTATTATTATAGAAGGTTCTTTTCCTAATTTGTGAACATGTCCCACATCGCTTTATGTAGCAAGGTTCATTGTGCATGTCGATAAATATTGTACGGAGTTTGAAAATTCGCTCCTTTACTTTAATAAAAACTCTCTGTTTCCCTGATTTTATTTTTGCCGCTTACGTCATTCACTTTTTATTTCAACATTTCTTTTATCATTCATGGAATCATTTATAATCATTATTAAGTAAATCATAAGTCCAATCTCTCCTTTATTTATCCCTTTTTTAAATGTCCGTAGCTAGTAAAGAAACCTTTAACTCATTGCCATAAGCATACTTGCCTATATATGCTAAGTTTAATATTCAATTAACCTTCATATTAACCGTAAATGCTTTTTGATAAAATACCTGATTAAACCATTTTTGTATTATATTCTAATTTTGTTCAATACAATAAATGGATTTCAAAAATGAAATCGATCAACTGAATGAATCATCTTTGTCTTCTACATTTATAAATCTACCATTAAGTCATTCTATCAAAGAACACAATGAAGAAACCAACGAAAGTAATCGACTAAACATTGAAAACGTTGGGTCCGGAGAAAATAAACCTATTAATAATTTGCATCGATCTTTAACGTGGCCATCTGTTCAGCCAAATTGTTCAAGCAGTAATGCTTCTTCAGTAATACATAGTGCCGATAGTCCAGTCACTGATTCTCAACATGTTAGAAGTCAGTCATTGGGCCAACGAATAAATCAGTCATTACTTCAGAAACGAGAGAGTTTGAGATCTGCAGCAAAAAAAATAACATCGATCGTAACTGGTTCTAAGGAAGATGTTATCTTTCGCAAAATTTCAGTCATTCCGGAAAGAACTGATCCGCTTATAGACTCTAAAACCAATTCCCCGTTTATTAGCAATTCGATAACTACTTCACGTTACACTTTTTTCAATTTCCTTCCAAAACAACTTTATGCCCAGTTTTCAAAGATTGCTAACGTATATTTTCTTTTCGTTGCTTTAATTCAAACTGGCATGTATTCATAATCATATAACAATCAAATTTTTTTTTTTTTGTACCTAATTCCGTTTCTAACTTGCGTATCCTGATGCATATTATAGTGCCTGGATGGAGTCCTACTGGTCAATTTACCACTTTGATCCCTTTATCTGTATTCTTATCAATAGCCATGGCTCATGAAGGCTTTGATGATTATCGGAGGCACAAACAGGATACTATAGAAAACAACAACGAATGTTCAGTATTAAATGTTTATCGATCAAATGATGTGACATCTTCAAGATTAGGTGTTTGGAGAAAAACGAAATGGAAAAGTTTACGTGTCGGTGATCTTGTGAGTGTTAAAGCTCAAGAATGGGTTCCCGCTGATTTATTGCTATTGCATTCTAAAGGTGAAAAGGGGGCTTGCTTTGTCGAAACTGCTGCTTTAGATGGTGAAACTAATCTCAAGCAAAAGCAGGCTCTCAAGGATACAAACAATACATTGGTTTCTCCAGAAGCTCTTGCTAATTTCAAAGGTATAATTTAGTTATGTATTTATTGTGATATATTAGATAAAATTTTCTAAGATTGACTGATTGTTAATAATAGCTACGGTTTGTACTGAGAATCCAAATCAAGATTTGTATAACTTTGATGGATCTATAGAACTCTCTGATGGAAAAATGTGTGCGCTTTCAAATGATCAAATTTTATTACGTGGCACCGTCTTACGCAATACTCCTGAAATATATGGGCTAGTTATATTTACTGGTGAAGAAACCAAACTTCGAATGAATGCTTCAAAAAACGTTCGAACAAAAGCTCCTATGATACAGCAATTGGTTAATAAAGTGGTTATAATTATATTCGTGTTTGTCATGTTTTTATCTGTTTTTTGTACGATGATGTCAGAAATTTGGATCAAACATTTTTGGAAAAACGCTTGGTACGTTTTTGGGATTGATATGCCGTTACATATATCATTATTTTCATTTATTATCTTGTTCAACACCATGATTCCGATCTCTCTCTACGTTACTATGGAAATTATTAAGCTGGTTCAAGTTTATTTTATTAACAAAGATATTAATATGTATCACGTGGAATCTGACACTCCAGCTGAGGCTCGAACAGCAACAATCAATGAAGAATTAGGTCAAGTTAGTTATGTTTTTTCTGATAAGACTGGAACACTCACAGATAATATAATGTTATTTAGAAAGATTAGCGTTGGTGGGCGAGCATTTTTACATGATATGGATCTATGTGATACAGAGGATGAATTATCACAAATGTTAGATAAACGTCAAAATTCTGTTACAAAAAGACAAGATAGATTTTCTTATACGTCAATTAGGCGTAACCGAACTCTTGATAACCTTGAAGATTCTGAAGATAATCAAATGGAGTCTTTAAAGCGCAGAGATTCATCTCTTAGTAATTGGCGTTTTTCAATGATTGCACCGACCGTTACTGGTCCATCTCCGTTATATAAAAGTGATTCAATATCCAGAAGTACTGTAGGATCTATAACAAAAGACAGGGATTCCACAATTGACTCAACTATTAGGTTATTGTCCATCATTCAACATAAATCCCATACACCATTCGGAGAAAAGGCGAGATTCTTTTTATTGGCTATTGCATTATGCCATACTTGTGTGCCTGAGATTGATCCAATAACAAATGATGTATTTTATCAAGCTGCGTCACCTGATGAATTTGCTCTTGTGAATGCTGCTAAAGAGTTAGGATATATTGTTATGGATAGATCGATGTCCTCAGTCTCTCTATTAATTAATAATGATGGTCCCGCTGGATTAAAAGATCCTAATAACGCAGAAAAAACATACGAGACATACCAAATTTTAAATGTCATTGAATTTTCAAGCAAAAGAAAGAGAATGAGTGTTATATATCGTTTGCCTAATGGAAAAATATGCCTACTTTGTAAAGGGGCAGACTCGATAATACTTGAGAGATTAATCAATCCATCAGAAAAATTGAGACAAGGAAAAGATGCATCTGGTAGCATGAGAGAAAAGTTTAATGAGATAAATTTAAAAGGAAATATTCGTGCAAACACTTCAATCCATCGAGATATAGCACATATAATTACAGATAGTATATGTAATTCTCCGACATCATTAAATAATGACGGACAAAGATATAGCATAACAATAGATCCTGAACATGATCCCTTTCCGACTTACGGTGAAAAATGGCTTTATAGCAAAACTATGCATCATGTCCAACAATTTGCGACTGAAGGATTAAGAACTTTACTTTATGGGCATCGATATTTAGAAGAGGACGAGTATAATGAATGGAATAAATTGTATCAAGAGGCTTCGACCGCTATTGTGGATCGACAAAAAAAATTGGAACAAATCGCGGAAATGATTGAAAAAGATTTAGAGATCACAGGAGCTACAGCGATTGAAGATAAATTGCAAGATGGAGTCCCAGAAACCATTGAAAAATTACGTAGAGCAGGAATTAAAATATGGATGTTGACTGGTGACAAGAGAGAAACTGCGATCAATATCGGATATTCTTGTTCTTTAATTAAGAATTATTCTACAACCATTATTATAGATCAATGTTTTGATCTTAATCTGACCTTAAAACAAGCATTAGAAAATATCTATGGCAACCGAGGAAAACATGTCGTAGCAGTAGTTGACGGTGCCACGTTGATGGTAATCGAACAAGATGACGTACTTATGGAAAAATTCGTTGAATTGGGAATTATATGTGATTCAGTTATTTGTTGTCGTGTAAGTCCATCACAAAAAGCTTTGGTAGTTCGAAATATTCGAAGGAAATTATCTGATATAGTAACATTAGCAATTGGAGATGGCGCAAATGATATTGCAATGATTCAAGAAGCGCATGTCGGAATTGGAATTACAGGCAGAGAAGGATTACAAGCTGCAAGAACAAGTGATTATTCGATAGCTCAGTTTAGATTTTTAAGCAATTTGTTGTTCGTACATGGTAGATGGTCTTACATACGAGTTTCAAAGTTTATTTTAGGAACATTTTATAAATGCATGTGCTTTTACCTTACGCAAGGGATATTTCAACTTTTCACTGGATTCTCTGGGACTAGCTTATATGAACAATGGACTCTTTCATTTTATAATACATTGTTTTCATCATTACCGGTCATGGTTATTGGAATGTTTGAGAAAGATTTAAACTATAAAACATTATTAGGAGTTCCAGAATTGTATACGCAAGGACAACGTAATGATGCTTTTAATTTAAAAATTTTCATTACTTGGATGAGTGATGCATTTATTCATGCTCTTGTAATAGTTATGATACCATTTATTCTACATGGAATCCCTCATAAATATGAATTTAGAAGGTTTGAATCACCTCAATTATACGAACTTGGATTAACAGTATATACATGTGTAGTTTTTGTGGTTACGATCAAGATAGCGTATGTGGAGTGTCATAATTGGACAGCCATAACACATGCTACATCATTTTTGACATTATTTGGATGGTTTTTATATCAAATAATTTATTCTCTTGTTTACCCTATAGACCCATCAAATGCAACTTATGATGTACGTGGAGTATTTCAACGAGATGGAACTAAAAGCGAATTTTGGATAACCGTATTATTAACAACTTTTGCAGCTATCATACCAAATATTTTAACAAAAATAGGAAAAAATGTTTTTTATTTTACCGATGTTGATAAATATCAAGCCATTGAGAAGGATGATGAATATTTACAGAAAATTATTGATGAAGGTGTAAATGAAGAATTTAGAGATGATGATATTCAAAACGAAAAAGACTTTAAACTGAAGAAAGGCAAAAGAAAATCATATACCAAAAATTACAAGACTACCATTGATAACTACTCAATTAATCGCGATTATAACCTTGATGATAGTGATGAGATGATAATACAACATCATGAAAAATTCGTGGAACGACAACAAACATAGACTTCAATATAACACTACTGATAAACTCATCTTCTAAGTCGTTAATTTCAGAAACTTATTTGGACGATCTTTTCAGAAAAACTAACGGTTAATAAAATTATTGGTGGGGTAGTATTAATAATGTTAGAGTACCAATTGGGATGTAATTATAAAAATATTTTCTTGTATAGTTTTCTCTTTATAACAATTCTATTACGTCACTTAATAAATTTAATAATATTGCATTGTTATATATTATATTCGTTTACTTATATTCTGTACGCAACAACATAAAATGGCAATGACAATAAACCTACAAAATCTGTTGAAAAGATAAAATCTCTTGATATCATTTGTAACAAGTTTTGCGTACTATGAAAAAGATAAATCTATCGACACGAAATGACTTATCTGTTATGACAAGTTTTTACGTAAACGATAAAATGACTATGACAATAAATCTGGCAACGCGAAATCACTTATCTGTTATTATAACTAGATTTAGTGTTAAATTTCATGCGCAAATCATGTAAACAAATGTAAGAACTATTGCAGACGATCTAGTGGGTCGTTTTTGATGATTTTACTATCATTAGAATCGTCTCAATCTGAAGGACAACTTTGTTAGTGCTTGAAAATAGGTTTACTTAACACTAAAAGTATTTTTTATTTTTACTACAGTATATACTATATAATAGCGGAGATCATCATGTGATACGTGTATTTCAGCATCATCCGCGACAATAAATATGACAACAAATCCGTTGAAATGATAAAATCTCTTGACGCGTTATCATGGTCTTTTACACGTATGTACTCAATAAAACAACTCCAAATGACAATAAATCTGATGCGACATCATTTCATAATTAATTTTAATACAGAACGAATACTAATTCGATAACATAATTTATTTAAATATTCAATTATATAATATATCAGATATAATATATAATAATGAATTACAGCATGTATATATGAACAATGAATCTATAATAACTTTTTATACAGTAATAATTAATTAAAATAATGCAAAATTACTTTGTTATATAATAAAAATGATTAAAAAACTCTTATAGCATCAATCATCATTCGATCCAATTCCAACTCTAACATATCAAGTTCTTGATTTACACTCTCAAATACTGATTTAATTTCATCTCTAATTTCTGCAGGATTAATCCGTTCAAGAATTTTTTCAGGATCATCATGTAAATGCCATCCGCTTCTCCTCCTTTGCTTAATTTCCAACATGTTTACTCCTGATCTAACAAGTACTAAAAGTTCTTGCAACCCAAAATCATCTGACAAAACCCAATCGTTCTCTAAAAGTGAGGCAGTTGACCCAATAATACTTTGTTTATCAATCATATCTTGAGATAAGGTATTATCAATAGTAATAGGTAATAAACCGCCTGTTATATCTCCAGCATTACTAACGGAGATATCGTGTTTATATTGTAAAGTTTGTAAATTTTGTAAATTTTGTGAAGTTGGTGAAGTTTGTGAATTTTGTGAACTTTGTGAAGTTTGTGATATTTCATTTTTATTGCTACGAAGTGCAGAAGTAATGCTTGGAATTTCACCACCTTCATATTGACCAGCCTTAACCTTTTTCAATACTTGATCAAGTTTAGTTCCCATTTCTTCTTCATTACTTTGATTAATCATTAGTTTCTCTAAAATATCAACTTCTTGTGTTGTACTTTTCCGTCTTTGTTTTTTGGCATTAATTTTTAATGACTCTGCAGAACCATCGTTTTGATCTAATTGTGATTGATTATCCATTGAATCGTTTATGTTTAATAATTCATCATCACCCAAAATATCATCAATGAGTTTGCTAATATCAAACGTATCACCTCCCGTCGAAATAAAAGAATATCGTACTCTATCACCAAAAACACGTGAACTTCGAATAGAACCCATATCAGTAACAATATCGACACCTTGTTCTTGATTTTTCCGTGCCGAAATAATAGATCTTTGCTTTGCTTGACTATATTGACGTTGTCGTTCAATAAGCTCTTTTTTCGATACTTCATCTTCTTTATCCTTTAATTCCTGATTAATTCTTAATTCTGCTGTCCTAACATCTTGAGTATAACGTTTTACTTCTTCAACTGATGGCATTGCACGTTGCTGCCGTTCTTCTTGTCTTAAAAGTCTTAAAACAAATATAGACTCATCAGGACGATAATCTAATGCCAAAGATGATGCCGAATCTATCGAATCCATTGAAAAATGTCGAATATCCGGTGGTGATGAGTAGACCGCAACTATATTAATATTTGGATTAACAAGTTTTTCTATATATATAAAATATATATTAAAAAAAAAAAAAAATCATTAAAATCAACAGACAATTAAAATTTGATTATTAATTTCAAGAGAAAAAAAAAAATTTTATTACCTTCACCATCAACTATAATCATAAGTTGATAACGTAATCTTTCATCGTTATCATGTACTCTTTCACCATCGTCAACAATGCCTTCAGTGATATCCATTTTGGCCATCGTTTTTTCTATAACTTGTCTAGCGGTTGCATTCGCTGGCACGATCAAGGTTTTTTCTTTTGCTTTTGCTTCTTCTTTTGAACGTCTTCTTGCAGCCTTTTCGGCAAGATGCTTAGGTACAGACATAGATACACGAGATTCGGTAACTTTTGTAGGTCGAAGACGAACAGGTAAATCGTCCAAATAAATAAGAACACGAACACGCAATTTCTTTTCACCAAGTTTTGCTTTTCTATTTAAACATAAACAAACAGTATTTAGACCATCATATAATTGTAGTCTCTTGATTGATTCATCATCAGATATATTTGAAAGAGTTGATGAAACTGATGATCTCTTAATAGATGGTATTGTAGTTGAATAAGATGAAATTAACGAGGAGAAAATATCAAGTGGAATTTGGTCTGGCATTAAAATTTTCTCATCCTTATTTATTTCTTTTATAGAAATATAATAATTATCAAAGTTTTCATCATCTAATTTAAATCTATGTATCGCTTGTTTTATAAGAGAAGTTGTATTTGAAGATTTATTTAATAATACAATTTTAGAATCGAAATTGGTAGGTAAATTTTGACCAGCAAAAACGCGAAGAACATGGTATTCCTGAGAAGCTTGATTATGAGAGTTTTGTTGTATTTGTTGTTGAGGATTAAACTGAGGAGACTGTGAATTAGATCTGGACCTATTATTGTTTTGTTGTTTAGGTTGCGTAGCTTTCTTTTTATTAAATTTAAATAACTTATTAAATATTCCTTTTTTCTCCTTGCTCTTTGGCGTATCTGATTGTTTAACAGTTATATTATTATTATTGTTATTATTATCTTCATCATCAGAGAAATCCATGAAACTACCAGTGGATGGTGTATTCGGATTACTTGTAGATAATCCTTGTTGCTGTTCTGTAGAAGAACGTTGATGATACAATTCGTCATTTTTATCTTGACTATTTTGACCTGTTGATATTGGGTTAGTAGACTCTTTCATAATATATGGATCAATATTTTCACCGACTTGTGTTGATACAGAGGTTGATATTGCAATTTGTTGATTCGTATTAACCCTATTCACTTCTACAGAATCATCTATTTCAACTTTTTCTTGGGTTGTCGTCTCTGCCTGTTCAACAGAATCATCTTGACCATCATCATCATCATCATCATAACCTTCATCATCATCCTCATCATAATAATAAAAGTCATCTGAGACAACAAATTCAGGAGATGTGAAAAGAACGACTTTTTTGCCACTTTCATATTTTTTCTGTTCAGCCAAGTCCTCTTCAA